GCCTACATCGAGTACATGCGAAATATATGTCATCCCACGTCCTGCAATCCCGTAGAATGGTGCAGCACGTACTCAAACTCTGAAAAACGAGGAAAATCGCCTCCAAAAGTTCTTGTTTTCTAATCTCAATTTTAACCACTGCATCGGAGAGAGCTTGAAAAGATGAGGCGAATACATATCATGTTGTCTTTTTTTTTAGAATGTTATTTCAGCCGTGAAACAACATTAAACGATTGTATTCTTCACACAATACCGTATCCATAAAATGAATAGATCTTCGCAATGGAATAACCTGAATATGTACATAATTTCAAAATCTCCAACGGTAAATAACCATAAACATTTGAACGCTATTAAGGGACAATAATATCTGTCAAATAATCGACAGATGTATTCTCAAACATCTGGATTTTTATTTAGCCGACTTATACATTGGACATTGTTGAATAGCTGATAATGTATCAATTGAATACTGCGCTTTTTACAATTAATTTAACACATTTAACTTTTAGAGACGAATATAATTCATCACTTGTTGTTGTACCCTTACATTAAACGTTAAATATAAAGGTATTAGAATTACCACATCCGGATTTTAGTTTTATTAATACAGTAACTCTCTTCATATTCAGAGTATGTGTTATATAGAGTGTATTTAACACAAATGGATTTGTTAGCATTTTTCAATTTAAATACTCTAAACTATTGATATCATTATTGCCCTCCTATTAAAGGTTCCTCCTCTCTTTTATAACCCTCTTGAAAACCGGGAAAGCCGATGTTTGATCGGGGTGAAATTTATACCAGAGATAAAAATAAAAATCGATGAATTTTGTCCACAAGTTTCTGACATGTTGTTCTATGGATTTTCTGGAAAACTTCAGTTTTCATTAGGTCACATTACAACCCATCCAAAAAGTGGTCCGATCGAGATGGAAATTTTAACACAAATACTTTAGATCTTATCTCAGGTTCTGTTTTTTCTTTTCGAAAAATCTGCTTTTCTTCTCAAGATATTTGAAGAATATTAAAAATTCTTTATAAAAAAGCCGGTTTTTTATTTTAAAAATCTACTCGCGCCGAAAGTTGAAATTGAAAACGCTTAAAAAAAGGTAAACCTGAGATAGGGTCTGAAGTATCTGTGGTAAAAGTTCCAGCTCGATCGGATCGTTTTTTCGAGGAGTCATAATTGAAAAAACACGCATAGTGAGAAAAATACATATTGTACACAGGGCTCTATTTTTCAGGGCATTTGTTGTGATCTTATATTTCCACGCAAACACATCGGAAATTTCTGGCAGACATCTCATTTTGAAGAGCACACTTTCTTCTATCAGTCTATGATATATTAGAAAATTCTTTTAATATATAGAAATGAGAGAAAAATTTACGATACTAAAAGATTGAAGTTTTCTAAGCTTTGAAGAAAAAAATAAAAAAGTTCATAATGTTTTCAAGGAACGTCATGGAGAGCTGGGGACGGTCTCATTTTATCGCCCAGACTTTCCTCTACATTAGGCTATGTTTAGCTCAAAATGAAAAGTTTTTGCAAAAAACTTGGGGTTACCCTTAAGTGAGGTAGTCAAATTTTATTTGCGTCTGTTGATCAGTTTTTTCTATGGATCAACAACAATTGAATATTTGGATAAACTAACTTGATCTTTTTAGCCCATGTACGGAAATAGCTGCTTTTAACGCTTGCATTCCCGACAGGGTGGAGTAGACGTACAGAATTTAGTTTTTTGAAAAACTTTCACAAGCAAAAACGATTACAAGTTTAGATTCGATCATGTGAATGATGGTAAAAAATATGTAAAAACATACTCAAGATTCTCGAACGAGTAGAAAAGATGACAGTATAGTGAAGTATCATTGGTAAATATTATCAATCAGTGTGACAATATGAACAATGAAAAGTCTTCTACTTCAAGTAATAAACTTTAAAATTAGTAAAACGAACGCCAGTCTCATTGACAAATAAAGAAGTTCAGAAGAGACAATAATGAGATAGATGTAGAAGACATAAATTTGTGTTATTTTATGATAATCAAATAAATCTATGAAAATAAATTATTTAGATTTTTTTGGAAGTATTTGTGAAACAATATGATGTCTAGAAAAAATAATTTGAAATTGAGATGTTGACTAATTGAAATTTTTAAATAAATTAATTTTTTAATTTGATAATAGAAGTCAAATGACACATTATTTTTGTTATCCAACATCTTTTCCAAAGTTTAAAGTATCATGCCCTATTATTACTCAAAAGTCTCAATATTTGTAGGCGTAAAGTCATTATTTCATACGATAATACTTTTTAATCTTTTACTACTCTCAACAATATCGTCAACAAGTAAAGATAAATCATAAATCATCATTTTAGTAGATTTTCACCCACCACTCAGTTTTTTAACTATTTTTCTCTTTTTATTATTCAAAACCAGAGTACCCCCACTCCGATCGAACAGTACTATTTGCATAAGAATTAAAATTGTCGCCTTTTTCTCTAATTTTTTCTACTTACATATGTACAGAATGATTATATGGGACGAAAAAGTGGATGAAAAAATATAACCTTTGATTGTGTAAAAGAGAAACAAAAAAAGTATTCAAATATGTATAAATAGATCACAAAGTAATCAATCTAAGTTGAGAACAACAGACAAAAAATAGAATTATATTTCAGGTAGGTCGATATGTCTCATTGTTTTTTTGTGTCTAGGCGCAAAGAAAGAAAAGTAATAGCTTATAAGAGGGGCTTAGTATGATCGGATTAAACTATCATGTCATATTAAAAAGAATTCTATGACATATTTTTCAGTTCAATCGGAGGATAATTTAGAAAATATAGATCGATTATTTGTTTCTTTATTCTTTTGAAGAGTAACAAAATCTTATTGGTTTATTGTTAATTTTCTATACTAATATTTTTTTAATATTTTATTTTAGATTCTACTTCCAATGATGTCCTATTTAACTTTTATCTGTCTTACATTTGTATTATTTGCCTCTTCAACAAGTAAGTTAATATCAAGAAACAAAATTCACCTAGATTTTCAATTAAATAACTTGATTTATAGACGGTGTTCGACGACATTTATCAAAACGTCAAACAGCCAATTCTTATGCTGTTCGTGGTCGAGTTGTATTTGCCGGTGGTTATACTCAAATTCCTCCTGGAGCTAGACTCAATGTTGAACTACAAGATACAAGTCTTCAAGATGCACCCGCTATAACTATTTCTCGTTCACAACTAACAGCTCGACAATTTCCAATTAATTTTGAATTACCTTATTCAACAAATCAAATTCAAGCCTATCGTACGTATTCAATATCAGCCAGAATTGTAGGCACAAATGATCAATTGCTATACATTAATGATCAAAATATTCGTATTTCATTCAATTCAAATAATCAACGACCGATAATTGATGTGCCAGTCATACAAGTTTCACGTAAGTAAAGAATATACACTTTTTTCTTTACTTGAGTTGATCTCGAAATAATTATAGAGCAAAGTTGTCTTCTTTTAGATAGAAATATCGCTAAGAAATGTTTTTAATTTTATTATTTTTTAGAGTCATCTGACAATAATCAAATAGAGTTTGAAGGTAAACAGTGGCCAGAACTCGTTGGTAGAAACGGTGAAGAAGCTGTTCGAATTATTAAACAACAAAGTGGTAAGTAAACTCTATTAGTTCATCTGAACATAGTATTATACATCCATATTTCATTAAATAGGTTTAACAAATGTAATTATCGTTCGACAAGGTCAACCAATAACAATGGATTATCGTCTTGATCGTGTTCGTGTGTTTGTTGATGACAGAGGAATTGTTACAAGTGTCCCACGAACAGGTTAACACAATATTATAACATAAAATAAACGTGTTTCCATTCTAATATTTTTCTATTATTTGTTCATGTGATCAGTAACTAATATTGTACAATAAATAAATTTTCGTTTATAAACAAATAAGAGGATTTATTTGAAAATATACACTCATCAGCGAAGTTGTTTGTACACAATGGCCATATTCGTAAAACAAAATCTTGATCTTTCGCTCGATTAAGGGCTCCATTAAGGGCCATACGCACATGGAAAGATAGCCTGAAGTGTCTACTTCCAGAATCTGTATTGCTTTAGGTTACAAAAGTGCTTTTTCGGGGATTTTGAGCAAGTTTTCTAAGAGCCTCGAAAAAACGGGTCTTCAAATAATGTTTTTTTCCTGGATACTTATGCAATTAAAATTTTTCTGAAAACACAGCTTTGTAGAGCAAACGTTTCTGATCAAAATAAGACTTC